ACCGTGACAGAAGGGGCCCCTCGGCGGCCGGGAGGAAGCCCAGAGCCAAGCCCCCGCCCGCAGCGCGGGCCCCGGCCCCCGGAGGCGAGCACCGGGCGGGAATTCCCAGCCGGGGCCGCTTCCATCAGCGCCCGAGTCAGGCTCCTTCTGCGGGTGTCAGCCTGCCTGGGCCAGGCCGGAGTGAGTCCTTGGGGTTTTCCTGGCTTTAGGAATTGTATGATCAAAACTATTCTCTATAGACAGTAAAAAAAATAATTATTTCTAGCTTATCTTAGATTAAATAACAAATTAAATATTCACGTGTTTGCTACCATGAAAATGAATGAGATTTGTCTAAATATGAGAAGGTGATATGTTGCTTCCTCATTGGCCAAATGAAGTAAGAATTCCCTAGAACGCCTGGGAATGCATCACACTTTTATGTGACTATATAACCGCACCCAGCGGCAGCCGCTATCGCGAGAAGACGCCATGGTGAGAGGCAGCCGGCACCATGAGATGCAGCTGCTATCGCGAGAGTTGGCCGCTATCGCGAGAGGTGACCAGCATCCCGACAGGCAGCTGCTATCATGAGAGGCAGCTGTTATCGCGAGAATTGGCCTCTATCGCGAGAGCCGGCCCTATCGCGACAGGATGCGCTGTCGTGATACGGCAGTCACTATCGCGACGGGCGGCCACTATCGCGACAGGCAGCCACTATCGCGACGGGCGGCCACTATCCCGACGGGCAGCCACTATCGCGACGGTCAGCCACTATCGCGAGCGCCGGCTGCCATCGCGATAGGAGGCCACTACCTCAAGAGGCAGCCAGCATCGTGAGAGGACAGCTGCTATCGAGAGAGAGACGCGGCCGCTATTGGGACAGGTGCCTGCTATCGTGAGAGGCAGCCAGCATCCAGAGAGGCGGCTACAGGAACTGGACTGGGTCATCACAGAGAAGTTTTCTGTATGTGTCACTGTCATTTTTAGTTTATACTGAATAGGTCTAGTAAATGAGTGCATTCAACCAGTCGCTGGGAGTAAACAAACGCCCGGGCTGAGGCCTAGCTCAGCACAAGTCAGAACATGGGCCTGCACTCTAAAACTGGTGCAGAAAGTCAAGCCACAATTACTGCGCACGATGCAGGTGATCACGTGCTGATCATTGGCGGAACATTGTTTACGGGAAGTGACTCTTGGGTTTAAATATGTAGACTATAGTTGTAGATATGTAATAGTTATTTGTCAGCAAAATTACTACAGCGTTTTTTCCAACATATGGCCTATTTGTTAAAAATAGCAGTAAATTAATAAAAAAGAAACATAACCTGTTAAATAATTATAAGCAAGCCTTGGTTAAAAGAATTTTAAAATGAACAGGTTGTTAATTTTCACATATATCATACGGACCAGAAATTTTGTCTGTTAAATCTGAAATCCATAAATAGAGATCCGAAAAATCAATAGGTTTGCTGTACACACAAAATATAACTAAATTCCGTCAATCCATTGTCTACTTCCACAAGCAAACTTCCTTTATACACACGCACACACGCATGAACGCACGTACAGAGATTAATAGAACTAGAAAATGCTTTTGGTTCCAATCTATTGTACCCATATATTTAAAATATATATATATACAAAGAATAATTTTTGCTCATTTTCTAATGAAAGACAAGTACCACATGATCTCACTCATATGTGGAATCTAATGAACTGATAAACAAGATAGATACGGAGATATAGAAACATGGAGTAGTCAGACCAATTTCGGAGGGAAGAGAGATTAATCAAAAAACTTAGATCATGGACACAGGCAATAGTGTGGAGAAGACCTGAGGGAGGGGGCTGGGGTGGTTGCCTGATGGAGGGGTTCAATGGAGGGGAAAAGAGGGGACACTTGTCATATTTTCAACAATAAAGAAAACAAATAAAATAAAAATTTAAAAAGATTTCGCAGACTCAAGAAAATAAAAAAATAAATATAAGCAAAGGAAGGCTATTTGAACCTTCTATGATTTAAGAGCTGTGTTCTCAAACAAGATAAACACACAGACCAAAAAACAACCAACCAACCAAAGGTGAATAATACTTTGTTACTGTTATTTAGTAGCATTACTGGAAATTGTCATTTCATAACATGAGAAATTTGCCTTACCAAGAAATCATAGAAGGTTCAAATTGTCAGATTTAACAGACAAAATTTCTGGTCCGTATGATATATGTGAAAATTAACAACCTGTTCATTTTAAAATTCTTTTAACCAAGGCTTGCTTATAATTATTTAACAGGTTATGTTTCTTTTTTATTAATTTACTGCTATTTTTAACAAATAGGCCATATGTTGGAAAAAACGCTGTAGTAATTTTGCTGACAAATAACTATTACATATCTACAACTATAGTCTACATATTTAAACCCAAGAGTCACTTCCCGTAAACAATGTTCCGCCAATGATCAGCACGTGATCACCTGCATCGTGCGCAGTAATTGTGGCTTGACTTTCTGCACCAGTTTTAGAGTGCAGGCCCATGTTCTGACTTGTGCTGAGCTAGGCCTCAGCCCGGGCGTTTGTTTACTCCCAGCGACTGGTTGAATGCACTCATTTACTAGACCTATTCAGTATAAACTAAAAATGACAGTGACACATACAGAAAACTTCTCTGTGATGACCCAGTCCAGTTCCTGTAGCCGCCTCTCTGGATGCTGGCTGCCTCTCACGATAGCAGGCACCTGTCCCAATAGCGGCCGCGTCTCTCTCTCGATAGCAGCTGTCCTCTCACGATGCTGGCTGCCTCTTGAGGTAGTGGCCTCCTATCGCGATGGCAGCCGGCGCTCGCGATAGTGGCTGACCGTCGCGATAGTGGCTGCCCGTCGGGATAGTGGCCGCCCGTCGCGATAGTGGCTGCCTGTCGCGATAGTGGCCGCCCGTCGCGATAGTGACTGCCGTATCACGACAGCGCATCCTGTCGCGATAGGGCCGGCTCTCGCGATAGAGGCCAATTCTCGCGATAACAGCTGCCTCTCATGATAGCAGCTGCCTGTCGGGATGCTGGTCGCCTCTCGCGATAGCGGCCAACTCTCGCGATAGCAGCTGCATCTCATGGTGCCGGCTGCCTCTCACCATGGCGTCTTCTCGCGATAGCGGCTGCCGCTGGGTGCGGTTATATAGTCACATAAAAGTGTGATGCATTCCCAGGCGTTCTAGGGAATTCTTACTTCATTTGGCCAATGAGGAAGCAACATATCACCTTCTCATATTTAGACAAATCTCATTCATTTTCATGGTAGCAAACACGTGAATATTTAATTTGTTATTTAATCTAAGATAAGCTAGAAATAATTATTTTTTTTACTGTCTATAGAGAATAGTTTTGATCATACAATTCCTAAAGCCAGGAAAACCCCAAGGACTCACTCCGGCCTGGCCCAGGCAGGCTGACACCCGCAGAAGGAGCCTGACTCGGGCGCTGATGGAAGCGGCCCCGGCTGGGAATTCCCGCCCGGTGCTCGCCTCCGGGGGCCGGGGCCCGCGCTGCGGGCGGGGGCTTGGCTCTGGGCTTCCTCCCGGCCGCCGAGGGGCCCCTTCTGTCACGGTTTCTTCCCGACGCTCTCTGCTTTGTGCTGAGCGTTTCTCCCTCAGGAGCAGTATGCTCTTGGACAATAATTAAAGCATAACGAGGAAGAATTTGAAGTTAGAGTTATCTCCATTCCCAATGCTAAAATAGATCTGATTTCAGAATTTCCAACAAAACCCAGACCATTTCCTTCCCAGTGTCACTGGTACTTAGGCAAATGTGACCCGCGCTCTCCACCCTGCAGAGGGCTGGTGGCGCTGCGGTCAGAGGGTCTCCACCGACACAAGCCACGGGAACTGTCCATTTGTTTGGCCGCCCAGTAGTTTTTAATCCCCAAGGCAATTTGCCACAGAAGGATTGGAGCTGGGTGAGGATTTTCACTTAGTATGTTCCCTGGAGGGCAGCCGGGGAAAGGGCCTGCTGCACCTGGGCGGAAACCCGCATTCTCAGCTCAGCCCGCCAGGCTCCTGGAAACTCTGTGCATCATTCAGAATCCAAATGTTAAAATAACCGGTTTAGAGATTTCAATAATTTGCAAAAGGCCATACAGATGAGCTTGTATTTAAGTTCACACTTCCTGGCTTCAGAAACCAAGCTCTTAACCATGGTACCACAGTCCATTTATCTTTATTAAAGATAAATTCTACATCGAAAGAAATTAGTCTTTAGCATTTGCAAGGATCACACTGTCTTATTTATATCTCTCATCCTGATGTCTTTTTAATTGCCGTGATCTGTAACTATGCTTTTTTACTGGGATTTTTTTCTCTCCTTCACGTACTTTTAATTTCTGGAAATTGAATTTAAACTTCAGGAAATAGTACATTTATTAGCAATATCAAATAAACATTCTACATTTCAACTTAGGAAATTTTAAAGTAGTGAGGTAGTGATGTGTAAAAGCAAAATTTTCATGTTCAGATTTATGGTTTGGCTGTTCTGTGCTTCTCTAGGTTTTTTTTGTTCCACTTTATATTGATACAATGCTACAACATTATTATAAGATAAACATTTCAGCTTTATTCATTAGGAAAACCTCACAATTTTGTTCTAAAAACATTAATCATAGTAATTACACTAAATTATTGCTGTACATTCAAAATAATCTGATTGTCTCCGCCAGCTAAAATCTATTTCTCACTAGGGAATAGCATATAACCACTGTAGAAAGCCCATGATGGTGTCCCCTTCTAGAATATTTTAACTGCCCTGCATTGTTGACAATGGAGGTTATAATACTTTTCTTGTATTTTCTCAAAATGTTGTGGTTTACCATTGATAAATTGTCTTGAGGTATAGAAAATATTACACTTACTTTTGAAATCCAGAAAAGGAGGGGGGAGAGTGAGGGAAGGTAGAAGTAAGGAATGAAAGGGAGGGAGGGAAAATAAAGAGAGGAGACAAATGGGTAGTTAGAAAAAAAAATGAGGCATGAAAAGGAGCTTAGGTATCAACCAGGTTTATTATTCCTTTTTCTAAACTGGTATATCATCATCCAGTAGAAATTTGGGACTACAACCCATATATTCCATTGAACATTAAAGAAACAACAAATTAACTTTCCCAAAGATATGCCTTCCCTGGCGTGAAATTCTCTCTCTTTTACAATGAAGTTTTGATGGCTGCCTAGTTTTTTTATATTTTGTTTTGACATTTCCCCCATAGGTTAATGAATGATTCTACAACTGTTGTGAACTAGACAAACAATAAAAATCTGTGAGCTGCTTGGACCACAGTGGCCACAGTAGCTATGTAATGATTTCACACAGGAAGGATATGGTGTCCTGGTTTCTGCCCAACAGGATGACCCATTTTAGCTTACATCCCTACCCGGGAATTCTTTTTCCTATTCTAAAGTGATAATATAAAACATGCTTCATCTCCCAATGCAGAACTTTGAACACAGATGCAAGAGGTAATAATAGTTCTTTATTCAAACAATATATTTTCCCTCATCACAAAAAAATAATGGTCGAGATTCTAATGCAACTAACATGAGAACAGAAAACAAAGTTCAAATATCCTCCTGCTCACAGGGCAAGTGAGTTTGGTTGACTTCTGTCAGTGCCTTCAATAAATGTAGAAGAGCCAGTTGGAAAAGGCAACTTACTCACCTACCTTCGCTTCTGGGGAAAGTTCTTTGTTCATGTCACGTGGGTTTTACACTAACCCCTCGGGGATATATGAGTTTGTGTGCAGTCCCTTTATTTACTAAGCATTCATTAAACTGATTACCGAGGGCATGCATTTTAGTATTTCAAGTCTGAGACTTATTATTTTTTCCAACTCTGCATTGCTATTTTTATGAAGCCACAAAAGCATACCTCTCTCAAAGGAGAGTTAATGGACTAGTTTTGCCTGTTTTCTAGTTCAGAAGGCTATTCCCCATGGGGGAAAGTCATAGTTTCATTAACCATTTCTGGGGTACTTTCCTGCTTTAAAATGCTGCCTTGGGCTTTTAGTAGGTGTCTGTGAAGGAAAGTGACAGAGGATTTGATGCCATAGGTCTGACCTTCACTTCGTGGATGTAGCTGCTGCTCATTATAGAATATCTTTGCGCACTAGGGTGGAGGAATTTTTCTCCCTAAGGGCTCTCATGCAGGGGTAAAAACAGGTCTTGATTTTTTTTTTTTTTTTACCATTTTTATTAAACTAGCAGTTTGATATCTGGAAGGAGACTTTGGCAAGCTAATGAATGATGTGTTATAATTACGTTGAAACCCCTGGTCCTGTTACCTTTTCATTAGTCACCCTGTTAGCACAGAACTCGTCAAAGTTGAGATGCAGATGATATGGAATAGGCTGGTTCAGAGTCTGGGTTAGTCAAAAATCTTATCAGCCACTGGAAGAATGCATTTGGAATGGCCAAAAAAAGAGAAGATCCACCTACCGAGCAAGGTATGATATCCACACAATTAGGTGTCTTCTGAATCTTTAGGTTGATCATTTAAATGTGTTCTGGTTCCTTTCCTTGTTGAGCTTCTATTTACACTTACCTTTTCTTAGTTAAATAACAATTCTGTAAAACTTGTTTTTGACAGTATAAAGATTGGTTCTTACTGATTTGAGATTTTGTATCTTAACATTTTCAAGAGCCAAACCACTTATGTATTGTCTAATTGGTAATATTTTTTTGTAAACATCAGATGGTTGAAACAAATCAATGCATTTTGAGTATATTTACCCGTTCGTGCATTTATTTTATCAATAAATATTTCACAATTTGTGCTTGACAGAGGAAAAATTCATTGGAAAGGCTGATTATTGTGTATTTATAAATCATCTATCATCTATCATCTGTCTATCTATATCTTAAATGAAGATAGAAGTTTAGTACAGTCTTACAAAATTCCTTAAATATTTTCATAAATTTGGTATGACTATCAAAACTACATGAAAATGAAATGACTGAGAAAATGGTGCTAGTGATTTCAAGGAAAGGCTAATGATGAAGGAGACAGGGGCTTCCAGACACTAAATAGTTATCTTAAAAGACAATAATTAATACACTGTGTTAGGAGGACAAGGATCAATAGATTATTGGGAAAAATAAATGTAGAAACAAGTCCTATATATGTTAGAATTTAGAATATAATACTCATAGTTAAAGGAGTAAATGGGAAAAATTATGTGATAAATCAAGTTAGAATCACAACTTACATTATTCAGTAAAATGCATGCTGAAAAGAAAGCAAGTTGGCCTTATTAGGTAAAACTATACGTGAAAAACAAAAAATATCAAAACATTTGTAAACCTGGGTGAGGAATTTCTAAGGATATATACAGTGAAAATATTAACAAAGAATATGTGGTATATTTGGTAGCCTTCTATACAACAAAATCACAACTGATATTAAAATACCTGTGATACATAAAGAAAAATATTTGCTATAATTATAATGAAGGTTTAACATGTAATAATGCAAAGTATTTAAAAATAGATATAAATAAAACTCAAATTTACTGATCAAAGTCTATGTAATGAGCATGAAAAAATTCAGAGAAAAAATACAAATAACTAAAGGATATGCAGAAAAATTTATTTACATAAGTAATAAAGGAAACAAAAGTTTATCTGCTAGTGAGATTTTTAAAATGATATAACTTGGAAAACATTTTAAATTATATTAATATGCACTTTTTGCAAAGTTACAATATAGTGGTTCTCAATATTGTCAGCTTAAATAATTATTTTTATAATAAATTGTAATGTCATTTGACAATTCTAAAATGAAATTGATAGATTGATAAACTAAAAAATGAATAATTTCTAGATAAAAATAAAGTATAATGCCCTATCTAGAATATAAAGCAGAGAAAAGAAATAGTCAAATTTACTAATAATACTAAGGACCAAGTAACTGATTTATGGAGTCTATCATTAAGATTCTTGGGGACTGAGTATTTTGGATGAAGAATGCAATGAATTAATAAAACTGGTAAGCCTTTTGAAAAGTTGCCTATAACACTTGGCTGAACAACTATTCCTCTTTTTCACATTTCATTTGTTGTAGAATGATGACATTGGAAAGGGATTTCTTTCAATAAAATTACTTTTCAGGTTTTTAAGTACAAACAAACATTTAAAATCCCTTTTAAATAATTTTATGCAAGCAGGAATGCATTATTATTACCCAGGAAATTTCTCTTACTTGACTTTAAAATTTGCTTGGCTGCAGTCACTGCTACACAGCTAATTTTCACATATAGTTTGCCATCTCATCAATTTCTCTCAAAAGAGTACCATTGCTGAATGAAACAGAAGAAATTATTTCATATGGATTTCTTTCTCACAATGGCAGCTGCTCGGATGAATTATTTTGTAAGATTTCACAGCCAGCCATGATTTGTGATATGTGTGGTACTAGTTTGTAAGAAATGAAACTTTCATTATACTTCAATGTAAAAAGTTTTTTGTTTTTTTTTTTAATTTTTTACTTTTTAGAAACATTGCTGTGACTGTATTATAACTCTTAAACTTTCCATTAAATCTTGCATGATATGTCTTTGTCAATTTTATAAGCTTATTGCTTTGTAAGCTTTTCCATTTGTACTTTTTATTCCATTGCTCCATGAGAGAGGAATGTGTTGGCAGAACCTTTTAAATATGGGCTAATTTACAGTGAATGTAATTGCAACGAATATAGATTAAGACACATAAGACGTATTGTAACCAAATTGTGTTGAGCAATATCTTTGTTCTGATAGTTTCTTTTCTGATTTTTTTGTTAGTATGGCTAAAAATTTATCAGTTTTATTAATCCTTTTAAAAAGAATCAATTTTTGTTTGAATCAATTTTCTCTACTGTTTTTGTTTTCAATTGAATTAATTTATGTTCTTTGCTATTCTCTTCTTTCTGCTTTCTTTGAGTTTTTGTATTTTTTCCTAGTTTCTTTAGGTAGACACTTAACATTGTTAATTTGAGACTTTTTAAAATAGAATATGGAATGCTATAGTTTTCTCACTATACATATTGCATCCCCCAAGTTTTTATTTTTCAATTTACTCTTTTTAAAGTTTAAAGTAATTTCCAATTTCCTATGAGACTTCTTCCTTGACCCATGGATTATTTAAAAGTATGTTTAATTACCAAGTTTTGATTATCTTTTTAATCTATTTGTTCTCTAATCTCTTCATTTATTTGGTCATAGAATTTACTTTATATTTTCATTTCTTTTACGTTTATTAAAATTTGTTTATGACTCAGGATATGGTTTACCTTGCTGTATGCTGCATGTACACTGAAGAAAAATGTGTATTTTTCTGTTATCTTTGGAGCCTTTATAAATGCCATTTGATGAAATCAGTTGATGATGTTTATTTCAGTTCTATATTTTTCCTGATTTCTGTCTACTTGTTCTACTGATTTCTGAGACAGTGTTAAATTGTCCAACTGTAATTGTCAAATTTTCCATCTCTCTTTAGTTGTTCCAGTTCTGCTTCATGTATTTTGAAGCTCTTAAGTGCACATGCATTAAGATCGTTACGTATTCTTGGTGAAATGGTCATTTTGTTATTATGTAATGTTTTCCTTTACCCCTGGTTATTTTCTTTGCTCTGAAGTCTACTTTGTTTGATATTAATGAAGCGATTCTGGTTTTCTTTTAATTAAAGTTTTCATGATATATCAACTTCCATCTTTTTAAACACACCTCTATCCTCATATTTACAGTGGGTTATTGTAAACATATAAATGTGTTTTTAAAAAATCCAATCAGATTATTTCTATTTTTTAATTGCTATACTTAAAGCATTTACACTTATAAGTTTTGATGTTTTGTTTACTACCAACGCTTTGATTTTTTTTTAGTTTGCTACACTTGCTTTCGTTTTTGTTCTATTTTTCTATTCAAACTTGTTTTGTATTAATTACTTTTTTAAATTGTTCACCTTAGTTTATGTCTAAGTGTCCTTGCTTTGCTGTGCAGTTTCTGTTAACTGTAGTGTGAGGACAGAGAAAGAAAATAGCCACAATGTGCCTAATGCTCTCTGAACCAGCTTCTCTGCTCGAGAGAGGTTCCCTCTCCCTTAGTTTCAGGTAGTTGCCTGGGATCGCCGCTTGGCCTGTGCTCTCGGGGCTGCCATGGCACTGCCAGGGTGTTGGGGGAGGAAAGGGCGAGAGGAGGAGACGGGATTTTCTTCCCTCTCTCCAGCTCATAGAGAAACCCTTTCCTGCTGTTTGGCCAGAAACAGAACCTTTGGAACTTCTCTCATTGGCATCCAGTGCACGTCTGGGATTTTAGCTTCCTTTGGGGAGGAAAAAAAGAAAAAAAAGAAAAGTAAATTCACTTTGTTTCAAGAAAACTTAAAGTTCTGATCTCCATTTCTCTTTCCGCCACTACCACTTTCTTTTCAGAGTTCTCCATGCATCCTACCTGGGCTTTTTGGTGGCATTCAATGGAAAGACAGGGTGGGATGTGTGTATCCCATTTTCTCACAACCAGAATTTGTTAAAGAAATTTTTTTGTTGTTTCAGCAACTGTTTTTTGGTGTTTTTTTTTTTTTGAATATATGACTTGTAAAAAATGCCGCTTTTTTAAGAAGAAAAAAATAAATCTTTGTGAGAAATCTTTGTGAGAAAGTGTTATCACACCTCAATAAACCATACATTATTTCCTGGAATTGAAAGTTTTCTAGGGTTTTTTTAAAGAGGGGCAGATTTAATGTAATAGCTAAGATTCGAGGTGCCTTGGAACACACCAGTTGATAGTTGCTGATTCCGTATTCAACCACCCTGTGCCTTAGTTTCTATATGTGTAAAGTCGGATACTTATAACACTTACACCTTAGCATTGTTATAAGAAATACAATAGAAGTTACATGTAAAAGGACACAGTAGTACTTAGCAAATAGTAAGCACTATTGAAGCGATAGCAACTATTAGTGTAATTATATGGTGCATATTACAATCATGAAAATAAAGGAAGAATATATTCAAATAGAGAGAGTACAATAATCTACAATCCAAATTCTAGGTGTGATAGAATAGAGTTAGCAATTCCCTATGGTTTTGAACATTAGGAGAAGAGTAGGTTGCTAAATTTAAAACAGAAAATGGAAGAAAGATTATGTAGGACTGTTTAATATAATTTTGGGGCAAATTATGATAAAATGTGTAATTCAAAACTGTATTTTATATTTGTAAAATCTTTGATGAATCGATATTTCTTCCTATTGCTTAAATTTGCTTAATTGATAAAATTTGCAGCTGTTTGAAATTGTTTCACACAAAATAATTACCATGAATTGCAACCGGAATAAACTTATATGTGGTTGTTACATCTGCTGGTATGGTTGAAATACCTCCTTTCTTTTGTTTCTGACATTAAAGAGATGTACATTTATTGAGAATCTATTTCATGCTAAGCTCCATGTGAGGCTCTGAATGAACAATTAA